TCACTTAACTGCTTTACCCATACATCATGTCTTTTCTGTTACAGCAGGTGAAAACTGAAAGAGCAGTTTCAGAGCCCCTAGAACTCAGTCTATAAAAGAAATAATTTAAAAACTAGTCTTCTGGGTATTTGTTATATGCCGTAGAGATACAAAGAGGGGACAAGCCTATTTCTTCCTCCCTCTTCCTCACCTTAAGTATATTATTCCTCTTACGGAAGCTTCTAGAGATGGCTGCCTAGAGGCAATCTGGTTTTTATTATAAACATGGAGCCTCTGTCCCTCCCCACCCCCAACAGGAAAAACATGTCCTGAGTCTTCCATTAGGATCATTTTAAGATTGTAGCTCAGTGATAGAGGTTGTAGTTTTGTGCTGCCTACACTGTGGGCCTTTGATAGGAGCCACACATGGCATCACTGCTGTTGCCTGCACAAAGCAGGAACTCTAAAATACCTGACTGTTTTCCATGCTGGCACTAATCTGCTCTGGAAGAGGTCTCTGACTTGGGGAGGCAGGGGGAGGAATATTCCTGGTTTCTCACTTAGCACATCTAGCTTAGGTCAGACTGAAAGGACAGAAGTCAGGACTCCAGACTTCACCTGTAGTTAGTGGAGAGGTATTTTCAGATGTAGTTACCCCAGGGCAGTTAAACCAGCAGTGAATAATTTGCTGGTGGAGTTTCCATTCAGAGTTACCAGCTTGGGCTGAGGCTGATGGTAGCAAGGGGATTGGAGGGGGTCGGACAGATCAAGAAAAACTTAATACTGACATAGTTTCAACATGGCAGCAGCTGTTACAGTTTAGGGTACAATTTTATGTCATTTCTTTGGCAACAAAGGCAGTTTAAAAAGTTCCCTCTGCTGCCTGCTGGTATCCAGCTCTTGCAGAAAAGAAGGCTTTTTCCTGTCTCCTGTAGGTCTTTCCATCCATGTTCTGTAACAGTTTGTAGGACCCTGCAGCAAATCGGATTACTAAAATTACTGGGGTTTTGTTGGGAGGTGCTTTTTTTGTTTAGAAACAACAAAGATTGTGGAGTGTTTGTTTTTGTTTGCCTAGAACATTTCAAGGATCTGGTTTGGGCTAAACCCACAAACCATGGCACAGCTGGGCAGGAAGAGGAGCAGACTGCAGTGCTGGCATCTATCTGCTTGTGCCTGAAACCCTCCTCAGCTCTGCTGTTAAAGAAAACACAGAGGGACTTCACAAACAATGTGAACCTCTCTGATAGATAATGACCTGGGTTTGCATACCCACGTTTTTGGAGTATTGAATAAACCCTGGCAGTAAGTCAAACATGTTCCATTTGGACTTAAAAAGAAAATGGTAGTTTCAGGTTCTGGGTCTCTGAGTTTGTCCTTTTGTTTGAAGTACTGGATTAAAAGCCAGGTTTGGAGCTGGACTTTTTGTTTTACATTGTTTTGGGGTTTTTGATTTTTTTTTTTAAATACATATAACTACCGTTATATGTAGTCTTGTCTCTTATTACAACTGTATGAAAACAACTCATGGTGGGGAATGGTGTAGAAAAAAAGGACCTCGTTTTAAATACTTACTTTCTCTTGCTTTCTGTGAAGAGTTAGCTATTTCTTTTACTCTGTACTTACTCCTGGGCTGACCCAAACACCCTTGACTTTCTTCCATAACCTTTTTCGATTAGCATGACCTGAGTGAAGCTGCATAATCCTCTCCCTTGTTCTAGAAAAACTGAGATGAGTTAAAAGTCTACAGGAGGAGTACAGGACCTTTGCAGACCCGCCCTTCAGTCCACCTCATTCCGAAGCGCTGGGAAGACTTCTGATCTCCTTGTGATGCTTTTGCCCTCAGCTGTTGAGCCCAGGCTTGCTAGGAGACTTTAGTTTTACTGTAGTGATTCCTAAATTGCAGATTACAATTTTATCACTTCGGGAGTAAGGGCTTTTCTTTTTACACTGCATTATTCTTGAATCTTATTTCTGTTTCTTTCTCGAGGTGGTGGTTTGGGGTTTTTTTCCCTCTTTCCTCCTGCAGTCAGATGTACACTGCAAATGGCGCAGACAGTGCCTCCTATTGTGGCTCAGGCTCAAGACTTCACATATGTAAAATGTGACTTGCAGCACTTTCTTTGAAGCCTAACCACAGCCAGGGAGCTGTAATTGCAGTCTTTGATTTGTGCCGACTTCACTTGTGGATTGGGCTTTGCTAGGGCATGCCTCACTTGGCGAGACTTCAGCTGCAGCCCCCCAGTGAAGCCTTAGATGTGGGAAGTCTTCAGTCTCCTTAGCACATGCCTGTGGTTTCTTGAAAAGAATCCTGATTTGACCTGTTTTATATCTGTAAGGCAACACCATCATCACTCATATTTTTTAGGTATTATTTGGTTTATCAGCAGTAGGAGCAATTTCCAGCGTGTACCCTTAATGTGCAGCTGGGGAAAGGCTGGGTTCTAGATGATGTTTTCAGGATAGCTACCGTGTAATTTGCCGTGCTGCAGTATTCCCTTGGAAATAAAAGTATGTGGGGCTTCACTATGCCTGTCCCCTTCCAGAATCACAGCAGTGTGTGCAGCCTCTCCAGCGGAGCAGGGCATAGTTAGGCGCTGAGAGGGGCTATGGAAAGGAGGCGGGCGCTGCAAAAGCTGCCTCTGGATTGAGAAAGCAGCAATGGCCGCTGTTTGAAAAAGCTGAGGGCCAGAGCAAGGCCACGGTCGTTATTTTAACCTCCTGACTTCAAAGACAGCTTGCTGGTAAGGGAAGGGGGGAGGAGGCAGGGAACCATCTTAACAGAAGAGCATTTCATTTCCTTCAGTGAAGTAGACATTCCTGGCTGCTAATGGGGAGTAGCTCTGAATCACAGCACTTGTATCAGACTGCTGTGAACTACTGGCCTGGCGCCTCAAGGCCATTCCTCAACAGGAAGCTGAATGTTTTCATGTAAGACTGAGAGGAAAACCTTCCCAGGAAGAGCAACCTGGACCAAACCTTTGAAAATCCGGGATGAAAAGGCACAAAATAAATATAAAGCTGCAGGGTGCTCTCCCCAGTGTTTCTCTGCTGTTTGCTTGGCCTCTCTTTCGTGCTCCTTGGAAAGGTAGAGCCCTTCGTAGCTCTTTGATCCGCACGTGTTACGGAGCACTGTGCTACTTTATAAAAAATAAAATAAAAAAAAAGACAGGAAGC